CCATTTAAACTGTACATCTACGCTATGCTGCAGTCACAGCAGCATAGACAGACACTAAATCTAACCTTGACACCCCTAGGATCCTCAGCCCCCTGCTCAGCTGCCGCCTAACTACACTGGCTACCAAGATGCTACCAGCTGGTGTATCCACAACTGGCTAAGTACTGATGCTACTGAGCCAAAACTCGGTGGGATTCGCAAACTCTGTATTTCCCCACCCCTGCAGGGCCTGATCTGGGAGGTGTTCTCAGAATATGGTTGCTCTGCACAAACCACCGCTAGGAAGATGGGCAAACAGGGATGTAACCCAGAAATCCTGTAGTCCCAGTGCTCTTCTGCGAGGCAGTAGGCCAAAGTCTGCACCCCACTCTGCTCAATAAGGAGGGACTTAAACCCAGATTTCCCTTCATAGGCAATGTGCTGGGGGGTGGGTCACGTGCCCCCACCAAGATTTCTGCGCTGATGGTGGTACACAGGGCTGCAGCCTGGCTGGAGTCAGGGGGCATCAGCAGTGGGGGCAGCAGTGCAGAGTTGTGCCTCCTCACTGCCAACGCTTACACGTCATCTATGCCCATTGTCTACCAAGGGTACCAAGACCACTGGGCTAGCGGATATTCAGCGGTGAGATGCTGCTCCACTCTGCATAAATAATCATATAATAGAAATCATAGAGAAGTAGGGCCTCAAGATTAAATGTACATTGAGACAGACCAAAAAACCCCAACAGGCTGAGCCTCCAGACCAGTGGTTAGGGCATTGATGTGGGGGAGGCAGCTGGCAAGTTCTTGGCTCCAGTGAATATTTTACTATTGATGCAAGTGGAAAAGCTTCAAGAGGCTCACCCCAGAATGCCCAACAGCCTGGTGGTTAGAGCTTTCCCTTGGGATATGCAAGCCCCTGCTCCAAATCAGACTGTATGGAGATGAGTGCTCAGCTGAGTGCCCCTTACTACTGGGGGTAATGGGGCAAGAGTTTTCTCAGTGCATTTTGGAGGGGAAAGGGCTGACTTGGCTGAGGCACGTAACCCAAGGAGAGGGATCGTAGCTGAGCATCCTGAGTAGAGGGAGCTGGGAACCTGCCTCTCTTGCATTTCTGACTCTCAGCCCTCTGCTCAGCTTATGGGATCCATTAAATCCCTTAGGCAACTGGATCTTTCCTTTGTATAAAGAGCCTGTGCACATCAGGGATCCAACACCTAAGAGTTAGGCGTTGCAGTGCCAAGCTCTTAAGTCCCTTTGTGAATATTGGGCCTCTCGTCTTATTGTCCGTAGAGCATCTAGCATGGTGGACTCATGTCAGGAATGTCCAGTTCATGTCAGGACCCCCGCACACTGCAATGTCACAGATATAATAATTCATAGATTCATAGATTCATAGATGTTAGGGTCGGAAGGGACCTCAATAG